TTATACGTGCCACGGGCAAGGCCGGGCTATACTAGTATTGTATTTAAAAACATCTTTTTGATAAATTATAAGCTTTAAAAAGAAATTTCCAAGCTCTAAGCCTGTGAAATACAATCTTAGGATGTGGCCGACATACACAACATTTAATCTGAATGCTCTTTGGAAACTTTCTCACATAAATCACGTTTCCATTTTGCAGTTTCCCAACGTTTCGGAAACGGACAAGATTCATGTGGCCGTGCGCGTAGTTGGTGAAACGGGCGTCGGAGCACCCATGTTCTTTGACCTGGTCAATCATCATCATCATATTTTAGAAACGGTGGAGAACAACTCGAATCATGAGGTTTACAGCGGCATCGCCATCGGCTCACTGCTGTCCACTCTTTGCGTTTTTTGTTTTGCGCTGTTCATCATATTCCAGAGACGCCGGTTTAAGGCACGCGCCCAGGGCCCCACGCATTTGACCACACCGACGGACATCAATTTCGGGAATCTGAGCAGTGCCTCGGGCATGCCCGGCGACAGTGCTGGCGGGCTTAGCGGCAGCACACTGCAGCAGGACTGTCACGAGATGCAAACACTGATACCACGCTCGCGCTATCACATCGAGCTGCTGCCAGAGCACACGCTGGAGTATCAGACAAGCACAGCGACTGCCGGCTCAACGTTGCCCAATGGCAATGGAAACGGTCCGACATCGCGGCGTGTCGAGCAGGAGGCACAGCTGGAGCTGAGCATTGCGGGCGTACACAATCTGTCACAGTTACCCCTCTGCGCCAATTCGCCGGAGCGCAAAACCGTGCAGGATGCCATGCTCCAGGAGGCGAAGGCCTTCTTTATACCCTATCGCCATACGCCGCCCAACGCAGTGGCCCTGCAGGCAGCCGGCAACACCAACTCCAATGCCAATCACAAGCAAACTACCTCCAAGAACAGCGATGGTGGCCTGGAGGTGGTTGTGCCGCCCAACTCGCTGCCGCTGGTGGCCACAGTGCCGGGCTTGGGCAATGTGGGCAGCCGACGCAGCGGCAGCCTGAGCAGCAGCAGCGCCAGCAGCAGCAGCAGCGGTAGCAAAAAGCAATTCCATACAAATTTTGCGCGACACTCGAATTCCAATGATGGCATCTGCCTGCTGGCTGAAGAGGAGTCGGCGGCGACGCTGACGCCAACATCGGAGCACGAGTACGCGGGTGTTAGTCTCACCAATGGTTTCAAGCTGCCAGCCGACATGACAAAGCAAATGCCAAGTAAAAGCAAATACAGCAACAACAACAATAGTAGCAACTGCAGCGGCAGCAGCAGCAGCAGCAGCAGCAAAAACAAGAAGAAGCCAACTGTTGTCCAGCTAAAGGATCGCCAACAGCAGCAGCCGCCGCCGCCGCAGCAGCAGCAGCAGCAGCAGCAGCATCCGCATTCATCCATAGTTCCTGCCAACGGGCCACAGACGCAATCTGTGGCCGTTAATAGCAAAAAGACGACGGCAATGGCCAAACAGGCGTGGCCTGCGTCCACGGCTCTGCATCGTCGTACCCAAGTCGATCCAAATGGCTGACTCTGAGTCTGAGTTGTTGCCATTGTTGTCGTCGCCTCGCCAAGCAAAAGTATTCCATGAAGCTACTACACACAAATACACAAGCACACACACACACACACATAAACACATAAACACATACACATTCGCAGCTCGAAACATTCCAAACGTTGTGGGATCCCTATACATTTGCATTAGTTCAGCATAAGGATACATAAGTATATGCCTAGTTATATGAAGTACATTTTATAAATGTATTTAGCTTCGAGAACCGAAGATGAACTATCTGAGAATATGAGTATACAAGAATATGAGTAAATAAGCAGCATATTTATATACATTCATATACATTAACACATATTTACACTAATTTTAAGCACATTTTTTACATGTTTAATTTTTGTTTGTTTTCTTTCATTTATTGAGGCTCATAATAATAATTTTAAATATATTATTATTTGTAGTGTATGTAAAATCATATGAATTAATCAAACTGACGTAATATTCAATTACAAACAAACATAGCCAAAAACCTCAAATGCAATAGCCCAGCTCACACACAGACACACACATACACACACACACACACACACACACACACACACAACATGCAACCACAATAGTCACAAGTGTTCATATTGATTTACTGCAAATATTTATATAAATATTTGCATAAATATTTAAGCTTAATACATAATTTTCGCATTTTAATTGCTGCATTTTGTGTTTTGTTTGTATATTTTCTTTTTATTTTTAATTTTTGTTTAACCGATATATCAAATGTACCTGATTATATTCATTTTGCATTTTGTTAAGCGCTCATTTTCAGCACCAAAACATAAACAAACACGCATATTGCATTTCAATTTTAATTAAACAGACCTTTTGTTAATGCCTAACACGCATTTCAAATGTACCGCAGCCGTATTGTACGAGTCTATCCCAATTACCGACTGTACCTAGTTTGTACAAACAACAAAACCTCTAGCTATGTCACACAAACACACACACACACACACACACACACACACACACACACATCTACACACTCGCGTACACAACATTAAATATTCTATTTCTACGAGCATTGCAATTAAAATAAGAAGTATTTGACATTAGCGCAGCATTTAAAATTGGCTCATCTAAGATAGTTTGTTGTGAATTGGTGTTCAATGTTCAAAACGAGATGCAAAAATTGTTATGAATGATATAGATACACTCACACACACACACACGCAGAGAGAGAAACATTCCATTTGCATAGACATATAAAATAGTAACATGCATAAAATATTATAACTGAATGAAACCCAAAAAACCAATTAGTGAAAAAAAAACGTTAAATAAAATACGCAAATTCAAATAAACAATTTATGTATGTACCGTTCAATAATAGAAGAATGCGTTTAATAACTGTATCTGTATACGTATTTAGACCTAAGTGCAATAACACATGTATGAAACCTAAACGAACCCGTGAACCTAAAACCAAACAAACAAAACTTAACAAAAATTACAAACAATAGTACCTTTTCCAATGAAAATTAGATTGCATATAGACAGTAAATAAATTTAAATATGCGGCTTACTGAATGGTATATGGCTTCTTTATGAAAACAAATAAAAATAAAAATAACAAACTTACTGCAAATACCGTCTTGAAGCACATACACACACACAGACACACACAGACCATAATACGCAGCCAATATTATTAACTAATCTGATTTGTGTTCATATTAAAATAAGCCACAGAATTTCCATTTCAACTGCATTTGGAGTCAACTGATAGAAAATAGTCTTAGCTCATATAAAAATTTCCACGTGTTCCATCAAAATATATTAAATTCAAATCGATAAAAAAATATCAATCCAAACTCAGTAAATAGAAATTCCAAAAAATAAAAAACTTTTGATGAACGCAAAAAAAAATCGCATTCAATTCACATACAAAATATTCCGTAACTGAACTCGAAATTCCTAAAAAGAAAAAAAATTTTAAACAAAAGTTAAATTTAAAAAAAATCTATATATATTATGCAGCAAAAAGGCAAAAGATTTATGTAATTAAAACAATATATAAAATTAGCTTTTAAGAAATACTTATTTAAAAAAACAAAAAAGAAAGAAATTGGTAAAGAGAAATTAAGAGAAAAATAATAATAACTGCGATTGTGATCGCTGTGTAAGTGGATGTGATAAATGTTTAAATTATTTAAGCGCGAAAACAATAAAACAAAAATGAAATGAATTATTCGATGGCATGAAAATGCGAATAGCGACTTTTGCATAGGTTTTGGCTAAAAACAAACCAATCCATATATGAAAAGTCCATTAAAATTGTAAGCAAATTTTGTTCTCAACTCTTTCTGTAATGCTGATCCTAATCATTATTTGAACTAAGCATGTTTCGTACGTAATTTTAGTTTGGGTTTTAAGTCCTCATTCTGTATACCTCATTAGTAGAGTGGAAATTAAATTGTAACTAAATTACAAACCTATATACTTAGTTGTTTGCCCCATCTGTAACATGTTTATTGCTAAATTGCTTAAAAGCTGAACAGAAATCGATCGAAAGATATTAACTAAAAGAAATCTAATGTATTTTTTATGTAATTTATATACATTGTATATGCTACAGAAATATTATTGTACTGTATGTAGAAAACTAAGCTATATATATATATATATATATATATACTATACATATATGTAGAATTGTGTTAAAGTTTTCGGTGCAAGTAATTTGACATACCAACCAGCAATTAGCGCGGCTACAGAGTCTAATAATATGTAACGATGATTTATGTACGTGAAACAGGTGAAGTACGCTAGAAAAGCAACCTTAACTATTGAAAAGCAAAGGAAAAGAAAAATAAAAACAAAAACAAATAAAACACATATTAAAACTAAGTTATGATGAAAAAAACATATGCTACAATATGCATTTTTATTCAAAATAAACGTTAAACGTATATATTTAAATAAGTATATACACTATAATTGGCTTAGTCGTAAATCTTTAGTAGTTCTCAGTACTTTACAGGTTTGTATAAAATATCATATGGGCAATATCATAAAAGGAGCCACGAAATGAATTCGTTGGTAACGTTTAACAGCGGTGTTCATTAACAAGTATTAATATTCTTCAATTATACATATTAATATATAGCTTTCTATGGGCTGTGGTATGTGCTAAATACCTGTACAATATTATTCAAATGATCACAACTAACTGAACGACTGATCACAATACAAAATCGCAAGAGTTCTCATATCCTACATGTATTACGTGCTAAATGGCATGCTTGAACGCATCTTAATGAGTGTGTTTGAAAAATGAGCAAAAACTAAAACTAAACGCTTAAAACTAATCTTTCGCTTTGCTAAGCTACATGTGGGCACAGTCAAGAGAATTTGGATGTTTGATATATTTCCGAGACTGCGATGGAAGGATACTTAAAAGGAATACCAAAACAAGGTCTACTAAACTCTGTATTTAAACCATTAAATTATCAATTTCAAAAAACAAAAGCAAATATTAAAATCAAGTTAATTCTGATTGCGCTCAATTATAAATTTAAACAAAACAAAAACAAAAAAAATCTATGCTATGCACCATAACATGAAAAACGGCGCTCCTCATATATTTTAGGTACGCATAAATATCGGTCAACTTTTAGTTGCAAGCCTATTCACATATCGATTCCAATTCATTGAGGTCCTCTAGATATTCTAGACTAATTGAAGGGTGCTCAGCACACCTTTCTTATCATTTTCACAAGCTCCTTGTACAGAATGCATTCCCGGCTGCGCGGCTTACAGATCTCGCGATGATCCAGCCTTATGCCGCACACTTCACCAAAACCTGGATCTGTTAATGTTAAAGTAGGCTTGATTAGACTATATTTGATTAGTTAGGCAATAAGCTGGAGCTTACCGGCTGAATCTACGCCCACAATGCGTAAATACAGCACCGACATGAGCGTCAGAGCTGTCTCCACAAAACTGAATACCTCGATCTTTAGATGACCCAAGTGATAGAGGCCCGCAAACCGCCGATGCAGATCCAGCAGATATTTGTTATCTACAAGGAGAGTTTATACTACATATAACTGAAATAATAAAATATAATTTCGTTATACTTTTTTCTATTTCCAGCAGCTCCACGGAGCGCGTCAGCAGCGGCGCCTTAATGGAGGCCAAATGGGAGCCGCGATGCGGCACCGAGTAGAAGAAACAGCCGCGAGCAGATCGCCAGAGTGGTCGCATAGCGGGACGCCCGCTCTCCCAGGCATCCACAATTAGCTGCTTGATAAAAAGGCCGCCCTTGGAGTGGCCTACGTAAATGATGGGATGGCCGTGGCCAACGCGATGTTGCATAAGCAGCTCGGCCATTTCGCGCGAGCGCTGAATGAGGCTGGAGCGTGGCTCCTTGGTCTTCCAAAGCGGTCGCCACAGATACTGGTCAGTTGTATAGTTGACAGCTATGACTCTTACACCCGGACAGTCCAATGGCAGCCAGTCGCCGGGCCAGCAGTTGGAGTAGTTCGGATCATTGGCAGAAGGTTTCTTTTTGCTTTTGCTGGCCGTCTTGCGCGGCGCAGAGGCCTGTGCGGTGTCCATGTTGGGACTATTATTGCCTTCGGCCTGCAGCATGGACTCCAGCTCGACCTGCAGCAGATGGCTGTTGTCATGCATGCGCAGACGGAATGTTGGGAAGCTGTACTCGATGCCCTCACAGATTTGTATATCCTCTGGATCACCACAAACATACGCGTAACTGTGGGCGAATCATTGATTAGTGGGTGCAATGGCAGTATCTAATTTCTACTTACTCTTCGGCGTCATCATCATTGTCGGAAGCACTAAACGCCTTTGGCTCAGTTGTCTGTTGCAGCGTTGCCTGCTGCCAGGCAGCGTCATCAAACGTTGCCTCTGTGTCCAGGAGGCGATTGCAGGAGGCAAACTTGGCGCGTTTCTCGCGCGGCGCAGGATGTATGGCGGCGCTGCGTGAATGGCGTGGACGCTTCGGTGGACGCACAGGTGGCCGGGGCGGTCGATCAAACTCCACCGGATGGCGCTCGTTTTGCCACAGGCCCTGCCGCCATGTGTTTAACAACGAACCGTGCAGACCATGCACAAGCACAATGTCCGCGCGTATGGGTGTGCCCGCCGGCGGTGCGGCAAGTATGTTGAGGGTGCAACAGCTGGCGCTTGAGCTCTGAAGACTGTAAGTTGGCGGTCCCTGCAACGGTGGGCTGGGCGTTGTGGGCGTATTGGGTGGTGTGGAAGTTATGGGCGTGGTCGGTGTATGTGTGCTCAACGTATCGGGCAGACTTTCCAAGCCATCTTGGGACTTGCGCAACTTGAGCAAATTGAGCAAAGGCCCCAGACGATTGGAAACTGGTAATGAGAGAGATTGCGGATAGAGCGATAAGCATTTGATATAAAAAGCTGTGAATTTCAGTACGAGCATGATGACACAATGAGTAATTGTGGGGCACAGCAGGCACTTACCCTGAACGGAGGATAGATTCAGCGATATGGTGTTCGCGGCAAAGGCCACCAGATTGGTCAGCGCCTGGCGACTAGAGGCCAGATTCTGCAGCACCTGCAGCACGCGTACATCCCGAATGCCCTTAATGCCGCGGGCGACACCATTCGCCAGCGGCAGCACCAGACGCACCAGTATACCCAGGACAACACGCATGCTGCCGCTGTTGTGGCTGCCCCTTAAAGGATAAAAAGTTGCCAGGTGAGCAATTGAAAGAGTTAAAACTAGATATTAACGGGCACTTACGGTTCCATTAGAGCGCCGCCGTTGGACGAGCGCACCAGCTGGCTTATCGCCTGCTCCTCCTCCTGGCGATCAATTTCCAGCTCGTTGCCATTGCTGATTGTGCTCACAAGCGGCTGATCTGCGCTTGACAGCAAGGCCTGGGCCGTCATCTGGCCAACTTCCTCGGCGATGCTCATCATGGCTATGTCACAAATGTAATGCTCATCGATTGAGTGCAGTAATGAGCTGTTGCTGTTGTTGGCCGCCTGGTCTTGAAGATCTGTGCTGTTACTGTCATTTACATTTAATTCCGCGCTGGCTATTGCACTGCATTTGTCATAGGTTTCGGTCTTGGTAAACATATTGATCTTGCTTTTTCTTTCTGCTCTTCCTGTTAGCTTGCCTCCACATCGGTCTGTACCTCTGGCTGGCTGCCAATTAGCACAGATTCAACATGTTGCCGGTCAAGAGCTGCGCACTAAACTGCAGTCAAATAAATTAAATTTGACTGTTAATCATATGCACACAGTTGGCCGAGAATTAAGGGAATGCTATAAATGTCAATGTCACTGCCATTGCACTCATTTAAATAGATAGAATAATTTGCACTAGTTTGTCTTCTGTTTTTGCTTACCATTAAAAACGAAATAAATTTCCATTTGCCAGTCTAAAAATATATACTCACTGGCGCAGTGTGACGTCGCATCAAAACACGTATACGACTTGATGGACAGCCAGAAATATGCAAACTAGGAAAAACTGGTAAAGCGAGCCTCCACCAGCTTACTAACTTTTCACAGTATATTTCGTTGCTGTGTTATGGAATTTGCACTAACTGTTTGTAAACAGATTTTTCTTTAAGCTGAAAAAACTATGACATAATATGATCAGGTTGCTCGACGCTAGATACTTGCAGTGTTGGCATAACATGAGCACAATTCACAAAGTGTACACAATACAAGTATCTGAAAGTATTTCATTTGAATACACTAATAAATTCCATAATAAGGAATTACAGAATTAAGAATTAATTTTTATTTAAATTAATATATCTCTTCTTTTGCAGGCTTGTGTCACGACGACTATTGTTATTGGCTAACGGTAGATATGCAGGAATATCACTAATGCAAACTGTGGCGAATTATGTATTATATTTTCTTTGCTGCAATCCCATTAGACAACTAGAAAACAGACGTCAACTGCAGCGTGTTGCATTGGTTGTTGCAGCAAAGTGAAAAGGTTCAAGTTGAGGGTCGTTACATGTCATGATGGGAGAAAAGGGCAAAGCTTGTTGCATGCCAGCGTGTGGCATGCATCGGCCGCAAGGCCTATCAGATGTTTTTTTTTTTTGTCTTTCTATTTTCTATTTATAGCATTATAAATATTCAACGGCGAGCGGCAATAACTGTACATTTAAGCAAGCCACAATAAGAATTTTGCATTTCCATTTAGAATGTAATTACAAAGGGCAACATGGCAACATGGCAACGCAATAACTCAGCTGATTAACTGACAATGAATGCTTAGAAGTGAAGCGGGGCCGCCCACCCGTATTTAAGTTACACCGACTAAACAGCTTGACATACACGACTTGTTCCCTCCTTGGGCTTTCGGGTGAACCGCGCACAATGCAAATCAAAGTAGAACTGCGCCCGGCACCTGCCGCCGGAGGAGGCCCAACTGTGGCTAATGCGCACCACGTTCGAGTGTCTGCGTCTACAAACACACTTGAGCCAGAACTGCTCAAAGTGTCATTCAGATGGGACAAGCGCAAGTATCGGGTACTGAGTACTTAAAATGGTGCACATCGAGTACGCGCTGCGGTGCAACAATGTCAAGTGCAGTCAAATTTTAACCATATACCATGCCTAGTTTTCCCATATGGGCTTTTGTCTTATAAATATACAATCAAAGGTGGCGATAAGCCATAAAGGCTTTCATTTGTTCTTATCGCTGTGCGCAATTGCTGTGAATCGTTTCTGGCGAAATGTTTGTGGTGCCTAATTGGAAAATGTCTTTCTGTAGCCATTTGCTGATTAAGTGTTGATACCCTGTAGCCAGCTGGCCCGTATCTAGATAAGTCCGAATTTATTATTAATTTCGTTTTAGCAATTTTATAAATAAAAACAATTAATCAAGTGCGGCTTATCCAAAGCAGATACAAAAAGGCTTGATTAAACAAAAATCTCTCCTAGTTCAATTCTAAGTACTGTAGTTAAAATATGGCAGATATGCAAGCACCCAATATAGTATTTTTATTTTAGCACATCTCTTGCAGTACGTTCTGTGGTATCTGTTTATATGTGCACCACCGCAAGCATGTTTCGTCAAGGAGTAGACGACAATACACGTTTCTCTTATTTGTCCACAGGGTATTTTATAGTTGAGGTTCTTAAGCTCTTTTACCTCTACTTTTTCTAACTCTGTCGATTGGCACAGGTGGCTTGAGGCATCAATTTTTCTATGTGGCGGTTTGAACTTGGCAATGATTGGCTTGAATGAACTTTGCCTTTATCATTGTGCATAGAAATAAAGAAGGAAGTAATCTTTATTATTTTACCTGGGCCTGATGTACACTAATTTGTGTTATCTAATTTGGGGTCTGTGAACGTTGACAATAGATAATCGTAGATGACTCGAAAGAAATGTAGACAATTATCGGCCAGCTCAAGTGCGTGGCTCTAATTTATGACTTGGCACGATAAGCAGACTGATAAACCCCATTTGTACTGCAATTGATTACCCTACTTGGTGGCAATCACAAGCTTATGCAGTCGAGAAGCAATGCTACGACCTACACTTGAGCTCATGGTCTGCATAAATATCCAAAGCTAGTCATCGAGAATTGCCAATCGTGTGCCAGTTAAGTGTACTTTGTGCTGTGTAAATATTACGGATCATTAGTTGACTATATCGAAGCATGTCCAAATATAACTATAAATTCAACAGATGCAGATGTCGCAGATGTCGCTGACTAAGGCTTGAATATATATATTAGAAAAATGAATCTATGAATAAATCAAAATTAAGAAAGCAGCAGATGTAAAATTTCGGGATTAAAGATCGACAGGGGTGATGCTCTACTTCAACTTTGTTTCGGGTTGTTTGACGGGGCGTATATTACATTATTACTCATACGCAATGTGTACTTTGTACAGCTGAGCTGCTGGGCTGCTCAACGCCGCTTTATCAAAAGTTCGTCGCAGTTGCAGTCACATTTTATTGTTGTTGTCTTTTATCAGAAAATACGGCGTAATATGGGCACCAGCCAACTGCACTCGCAGACAATTAAACAAATAAATACATAAAAGCGCTGCCTCCGTCGACTTTGTTGCGTTCGGTTTCATTTTTTATGTTAACCGATTGTTTTCAATGAAATTTTTGCATAAGCTAACTCGTTGGCCAACAAAATGCTGAGCGTCCGAGCGTCCATTTTGATAACTGGAAATTGAGTGGCAAGGCGACACGAAAGGCAAACATCAAGCCGTATAACATTGTAATTGAATTGGCGCATGTGGCAGCCACGTGAGCCCCCATTTGTACTAAGTATATTGTGTGTATATGTGCGATTGCTTGCTGGAATAGCCAACAAGCTCACCTGCCTTCAGTCAGCCCCTTGATATTGACGCCCACGCGACGGCAGGCGTCAAGTGTGCAATAAACTGGAACCAAATCGAATCTGAATCTAAGCGCCAGAGAAATGTGCTTAATATGCATTTCAGTGAAAAAATAGTTTATTCATGCGCTTCGATTGACACGGACAATTTAATGGAAATGTGTGTGGAATATATAAAATAATAATGCTTGAATTCGTCAAATGCATTGTGTCACAGTTTTTAGGCAGTTGACTAATTTGATTGAACTCATGATTTATTGACATATTGTAAATATGAAGCGTGTGCTGAAATCCCTATTTTATTCATATTTTATTGTTTCTAATGATATGATGATGGGTTGAAGCATAGATTAGCTGAACAACAGCAATAATAGCTAATGATAAAACAATTGAACTTGGCCAAGACAGCAGCTAGTTGATAAGGACGTAAAACAAATCAAATTGCGTGTTTTGATGTGTAGCTGAACAATGTTTGCAATAAAGAAGCGATCAATCGACTGTAACAATGGTTCAATAAATACGAAAAGCGTGTTTGCTTTGCAGCCATCATAAATACATATATATATTTTTTATGTGCATAGCTCAATGGGCTCAAAAGGGATTTTCAATTCGAATTCAATCGATTTAATTCAATTCAAGTGATTCGCTACGAGAAGACAGGTCCGAACTTGTAGCTAAATTTACGATGCTCTTTCAATTCAGAAATACTAAATGGTATGAATACCCGACATCTGTGCATTTAAGCTTGATACGCGAAAATAGCATTAAGCAGCTGTTTTTATTTTTATTTATCATATTGCAACGAATGTCGAATTCAAGGCAGTCTCCTATATATTGGCCATTTAAGGGTAAGCAAGTGCATTGAGAAATGGAAACATCAAAAGCATTGCAAAAACTACTTGAAAGTATGACAAGTGAATGGTAATTGTATAATATATATATAACAAAATAAATAAGGCTTTTGTTATTTTAGTACGCGGCATCAAAACAGTGTAATAATGGGATTTATTTGAGAGAGCGAAAATTCCAAATTGGCTTTAGTGTACAAATTCCATATGATTCATTTGAATTCCAAATGAGAAATTGAGAATATGTATGTTGTCCCCTTTTGATACATAAATCATCTTTACACATACAATTGTTCAACCTAACTGATTAGCTGACTGACTGACTGACTGACTGATTGTTAATCAAGGTGCAGCACACGCCGCAAGCTGAATTTATTTTACAATATTTAGTTACCTGGCGTTGTGTAAGTGTACGCTAATATTGCGTTTGGAATTCAGCCCACAAAAGTAGAAAATGCAGTTTTAAAGTTGAAAACCATATACATTTCCAAGGACAGGACAGGAAATGTAAAACGGTGTTTTAGATATTGCCCTACAAATAATGAATCATAAATTTAAGTAAAACTTTTTGATTTATATAATTTGATTATTTGAAATCAAATAAACCCCATTTCTTTTTAATATTTTGATTAATTATTGATGTTTGTATGTAAGTATTCACTTTATTAATAATTCAAGCTGCGCAACAAACTACATAAAACACTTTTCCAAATGTCACCCTACTCTGCGATTCTCATAAACAGAATGTGTGCTTGCTGGACACATTTTCTATGAATTTGCTAAAAGTTCTTTATGCTTTGATTTTAATCATTTGTAAGTGTTTTTTTTTTTTTAATTGTTATCATTCTTATTAACTTATTGGTATTTATTATTATGAATGCGATCGTGTATGTATATTTATACAGGTGTTCATGTATGTATGAAAAAATATAGTTATTTATATATAAGTGAATGCATGTTTGTTTGTCCTTTTGTTACGCTTCCTGCTTCTCTGAAAATTTTAAAAAAACGCTCTGCTTATCGATTCACATACATTCAAATAATGCCTAAAAATGAGACTTGTAGATAAATAATAAAATCTCTTCAACTTTTTCCTTTAATTTGATCAAAATAATTTTTATTAAAAATGGCATACAATAACTTTAATTCTATTCACATGTTGACTATAATGGAATCTCGACCAATACGGATCTTTATGTTTATCTATCTATTTATCTAGTTATCTATCTATATATCTATACCTATCTACATCTATCTTACTATATATATACATCTATCCATCTATCTATCTATCTATCTGTCTATCTATCTATCCATCTATCTATCTATCTATCTATCCCTCTCTCTATCTCTCTCTCTCTCTCTCTCTCTCCCCTTTCCCCCTTTTATTTCCGCCCTCTATTTCTCTATCTGTCACAATTCAATACCAAATGGAGGACCATCACTTTGATGAGAACTTTCTTGACTTGGTCAACTTATGAGTGATTATTGATTAATATAAATATATACAACACTACGGACATAATTACAATAAATTGTTAAGCAGAAGATGCAAAAAAATTAACATATAGAACCGTTTAGCATTTGAGTTTTTTAATAAAGAAGTTGACTAGCAAGAAATCTCAAACAAGTTATGCAAAACCTGCCAGCAATGAAATATATAAAGGCACACAGAAGCGTGTATCTCTCAGCATACATATGTATTTATAAGTCGATGTAGACAACATCAGGCCACATTATAAAATAATCATTAATATTTTGTGATCTTTTTTTTTTTTGACTGCGCCGCCATGAGAAACAGAATCAAAGCTTGCAGAGCCTTGGACCACAAAAGAACCGTGTCCGTAACTAAATGAAGTTGGTTTAGTCATGTGATGGGTGGCATGATTAAATCGGTTAACTGTTCTGATATCATTTTATATACTAATAGCAGGTATTTAACGTGTGCATACAGCAAGTGAATAGTTTAGCTGACAAATCTAACAGCTGGCACAAAGCCCAAATCCATTTGTATATATATTTATTACAACATCAGCCAACCCAACCGGCAAACAGTTAAGAGAGCAAAGAGCTTCACAGCGTGTGCTGGAAAATTCTTTAGCAGGGCGGCGGCAAGTGGTTGTTTATGCTTGTGGCCGCCGCTTATGGCTGGTTAGGGCAGGGCCGGCACGCGGGAGCAGCGGGCGTGGGTGGAGTTGAGGTAGGCTGGCGGAATGCGCCATAACCTTCAGCAAACGTGTTGAGCATAACCAAAGCTCCAAGCAGAAGAATAATCATCGGTGGCAGAGACCGACTGTATGTAAATATACATATATATATATATATATATTTTGTTGTTGTTGTTGTATTAAGGGGCTTTGTTTGGCTTTCGCGCAGCTGGATAAGTCAATGCGACTATTTTCTGCCACAGTGCGGGGCAGCTGACTAGAACAACCAACAGCTCTTTTGTGCCTGATTGCGTTCAGTTTACTTGCAGTGCATTGTAAATACACCCATACATATGTATGTATATACACATACATACACGCACAATAAATTGTGCTTGATTACGGCTCAAGTGCCGTTCACCCAATCAATTTTC